TTTTCCAAGTTCCGCCACTACTTTTGGCAGGCTCCGGAGCAGACACAGACAACAGGCCTCCAGGGCCACATCTTCCATGCACAACACAAAGTCCCAACTTCCATGTCTGTCTGGCTCTGCACTCCTGGGTGTGGCTCTGTGTGAACCCCAGGCACTGTACCAGCAGAGCGGGTAGGAGCTTTGGCTGAGTCACTCCCATGGCAGCACTGCAGAAATGGGGCCCCGCTGAGGTTTTTACTGCCTCTGAGTTCTGCCTTCCCAGAGAATCAGAGCTGGAATCTCACTGCACACAGCTTATTCAGGCTATGTCCTTTCACAAAGTGATAGGTGTAGAGACCTTCTGCACTCTGGACTGGATGTTACATGCATGTTTAGCTTTGTATGAACCCATCCTCCTCAGGCACTCTCTCTTCCCATCAGCAGTGACTGAGAAGATCCTGCTGGCCCACATCTTTGTCAGCACCTGGATCATCAGTTCCTTTTAATTGTAGCCGGCCTAAATAAGCATGTTGTGGCATCTTAGTTTTAATTTTCAATGCCCTAATGTCAAGCAGTCTTTCAAGTGCTATATATTAGGTGTCTTCACATCTTGTTTAAAATCTTGAGGGGGGGGGGAGTGGACAGAGGAGAGAGAGAAACTTCCACTTGCTGTTTTTCTCCCCCAAATAGTTACAAAACCTGGGGCTGATCCAGGCAGAAGCCAGGATCCAGGAATTCCATCAGGGTTTCTCACATGGGTGGCCAGGACCCCAGTTACGGGTCCATCTTCTGCTGTTCTCCCAGCCACACTAGCAGGCGGCAGGGATGGGAAGGAGACTCAAATAGTTACTCAGGTAATGGGGAGCCAGAGTTGCAGGGAGTAGCTTAACCTGCATATCATCTTTGGTAAGGCATCTGCTTAGCTCTTTGCCCACTCCTATTCTTTTCCTATTTTTATGAGACAGCCATCTCATCCACTGCTTCACTTTCTTTTTTTTTTGATTTATTTTTATTTTTATTGGAAAGGCAGATATACAGAGAGGAGAGACAGAGATGAAGATCTTCCGTCTGATGATTCACTCCCCAAGTGGATGCAATGGCCGTGCTGTGCCAGTCCAAAGCCAGGAGCCAGGAGCTTCTTGCAGGTCTCCCATGCAGGTGCAGGGTCCTGAGACTTTGAGCCGTCCTCAACTGCTTCCCCAGGCCACAAGCAGGGAGCTGGATGGGAAGCGGGTCTCCTGGATTAAGACTGGAACCCATGTGGGGTCTTGGCATATTCAAGGTGAAGACTTTAGCCACTAGGCCACCACGCCAGGCTCACCAATTTTATCTTTTACAAAGTCATTTCCAAAACCAAGGCCACCGAGATTTTCTGTTATTTTCTAGCATTTTAGTGTTTTGGGTTTTATACGTAAGTCTGTCAATCTTTGTGGGAGGTATAAAGTCAGGGTCTATATTCTGCTTGCACATGGACGTCTAGTTGCTCTACCATCATTTGATGTCCTTTCTCCACTGAATTAAGTCTTCTGCTTTGTCCAAACTCAGCTGGCTGTGTTTTTCTTTCTTTTTAAGATTTATTTTTGTTGGAAGGCAGATTTAAAAAAAAAAAAAAGATTTTTAAACTTTTATTGTAAAGTCAGATATACAAAGAGGGAAAGATCTTCCATCCGCTAATTCACTCCCCAAGCGGCTGCAACGGCCAGAGCTAAGATCTGAAGCCAGGAGCCTCTTCCAGGTCTCCCATGTGGATGCAGGGTCCCAAGGCTTTGGGTAGTCCTTGACTACTTTCTCAGGCTACATACAATCAGAGAACTGGATGGGAAGCAGGACATGAACCAGAGCACATATGGGATCCTGGTATGTTCAAGGCAAGGACTTTAGCCACTAGGGTACCGTGCCAGGCCCAGAAAGGCAGATTTACAGAGGAGAGGCAAAGATCTTCTATCCACTGATTCATTTCCCATGTGACCACAACAGCTTAGGGCTGAGCTGATCTGAAGCCAGAAGCCAGGAGCCTCTTCGGGGTCTCACACGCAGGTGAGGGTCCCAAAGCTTTGGGCATCCTTTACTGCTTTCTCAGGCTTCAAGCAGAGAACCAGATGAGAAGTAGAGCAGCTGCGACACAAACTGGCACTCATATGGGATCCTGGGCGTGCAAGGCAAGGATTTAGCCACTGAGCCATTGCACCAGGCCTGCCTACAGATTTTACTCTGTCCCTGGGTTCTCTTCATTCTCCTGGTTTGTCCATTCTTTGGCTGATGCCACCATCTTTTGAAGTTGGGTTGTATTAATCTGCCTGTTATTGTGCTATTAAATTAAAAAAAAAATTTGTTTTTTGCCTTTCTAAAGAATTTAGAATAGCTTGTTGACATTCCTAAAGTAACTTTCTGGGAATTTAACTGGGATGATTGGGATGATGTTGAAGCTGCAGATAAGTTGGAAAGCACTAAAATGTTACTAATAACAGTCTTTTTACTCATGAATTATCTGTAGTTATATTCATGCGGATATTGTACATATTTTGTTATTTATTCCTGTGTAGTTATATTCATGCGAATGAGGGTTGAATAGAGTACAGGGTATTTTTAGAGCTGTTAAACTTCTGTAGGCTAGCATAGGTTATATATGACTACTCAACTGTCAAAATTCATTGGACTACACAATGCTCTTTATCTTTCCAATAAAAATAAGTATTTTTTAAAAATCACACTAATGCAAAATGTTAATAACAGGGAAAACCGAGTCACTGAGAGAAGCCATAAGATTCACTTATTTGAAAATAATGGCTATTCATTTCTCACAAAGTGCCAGGGCTGGGAGTTGTTGGTAGGCAGCCAGTTGTGATGCCTACATCTTATGTGGAGTGCCAGTTCTGGTCCTGGCTGCTTGGTTTCCAATCAAGAATCTTGCTAAAACACCAGGGATAGCTCAAGTAGTTAAGCTCCTGCCACTCATGTGGGAGACCTGAACGGAGCTCCCAGCTTCTGACACTTCAGCTTGTCCCAGCCCTGGCAGTTGCTATCATTTGGGGACTGAACTGGTGGATTTGTCTCTCCCTCTTCCACAAGGTATTTAAAATAAGTATATTTATTTATTTATTAAATTTTTTATTGCAATGTCAGATATACAGAGAGAAGGAGAGACAGACAGAAATATCTTCTGTCCGATGATTCACTCCCCAAGTGGCCACAATGGCCAGTACTGCGCCAATCCTAAGCTGGGAGCCAGGAGCTCTTCCAGGTCTCCCATGCAGGTGCAGGATCCCAAGGCTTTGGGCCATCCTCAACTGCTTTCCCAGGCCACAAGCAGAGCTAGATGGGAAGTGGAGCTGCCAGGATTAGAACTGGTGCCCATATGGGATCCTGACTGCTCCACTTCTGGTTTTGGTTTTTTTGAAGATCTGTTTTATTTTGTTTTACCTTGTTTTATTTGGAAAGGCAGATTTACAGAGGAGGTACAGAAATATCTGTCTGCTGGTTCACAAGTGCCTTTAATGGCCAGAGCTCAGCCAATCTGAAGCCAGGAGCCAGGAACTTCTGGGTTTCCCATGCAGGTGGCAGGGTCTCAATGCCCTGGGCCATCCTCTACCGCCCTCCCCGGCCACAAGCAGGGAGCTAGGTGGAAAGTGGGGCTGCCGGGATCAGAACCGGCATGCCAAGGTGAGTACTTTAACCACTATGCTATTATGCCGGGCCCCAAAATAAGTATCTTTAAAGCAGCAGCTCCAAATGAAAAGGAAGTTGCTGGTATAAATTCTTCTAATGGCTCTTCCTTGGCTTCAGGTCCACACTCAGCCAAACTGAATCACTTGTGCACATGGGACTCTGCACAAGTCCCGGGCATGGAACATGTGCTTTAGCCTGCCCTGGTCATGTCTTGAAGATGCTTCTGCAGACTTCAATCTGGGAACACAGGAGAAAGATACCAACCTGTAGGACCTGTTGCATATCACCTAGTTTTCTGGCAGGACCACTTTCCTGTGCAAGCCTAACCAGCTGGCCCAACCTGGTTCTTTCCAAATATACAGAAGAAACTACAACCTGTCTGTCCTCATAGCACTGGACTACAATTCCCAAACTGTTTAATGAGGCACGTGAGAGCGCCCTGACAAATTCAGAGGGGGGAAAAGTAGGCTAATTTAAAATGTGAGGACCGTCCAACACCTGTCGGCTTCTGTGAGAACTCAAGGTAGTTGGAAGGTTCATTAGATGGTACAACTTTTTTTTGATTGTGTCATCACCAAGGAGTTGTTTTCAGAAGCTGCTGTGATAAAAAGCAAACACAAGCCAGAAGGGAACAGGAAATGAAGGGGGTGGTATCTGTGTAGTGTCCAACAGGTGCACAGATCCCATTTGTGCCTGAAGTTACTTAAGAAGGAATTAACATTATTTTTCCCAATTTATGTGCATTATGTTGGAAGATGACAACTGATTTGTCATGTCATAAAGACTTATTAATGGATTTGGGCTTAACTAATACACTGAACTTCCAGGTATTTGCTTTGGTACAGGCGCTCCAAGACAAAAATCATGTTACCGGTGCTGAGTCCGATCTTACAGATCATAGAATCCAGCGCACCAGGGAACTCTGTTTGGCACAAGTATCCTTTGTTTCTCCTGACAAAACAGAAGGGTGACTAGAGCATACCGTGTGTAGTAAGGTTACACAGTATTGTGTAAAACTGTTCATTATATACACACAAGCATGTATATTTTGGGTTATAATGTAAAATGTCTATTTCATATTTAGGTTTTGACTTAATGTTCCAAGCATTGTACAACACAGATGAGAACAGTCGTGGAGTGAAAGCTGCTTATTGCAAATCACACACGAGGACCCGACTCTGTGCTTGGCCCGGCTAGGCGGTGGCCACTGGTCAGTGCGGACCCTGCAAGGCACGCTTCATTCTGCTCAGCAGGGATGTGGTCAAAATCAGAGCCATGGAAGTTAGGGACCAGGTGTTCTTGCTCCTTTTGGCCCCAAGACCCATTTGTAGCCCACAAATACCACCAGTCACAGCTAGAACAAAATGATTTTAATCAATTGCATCACCCTCACTTTCCTGGGAGCGGAGCAAAAAAAAAAAAAAAAAGGCTCAGCTCCTGCCCCGGAGGACAGTAAGGCTTAAGTGTCTCTCCACACTGCAGGGCCCAGGCTGGGCAGGCAGGGGACGGGCAGCGGGTGGCATGGGGAGGAGGGAGGAAATGGCGGCGGTGGCAGCAATGGTGGTGGCGCTGAACACAGTAAGCTAAGGGCCCTGGCCATCCTTGGCCCCCAGCCCCAATATTTCTGCTCCCCTTCCCCCCCAGAGAGAAAAAGGTCGTGGAGAAGAGATGGGGAGTGAGTCCCAGCAGCAGGAGAAGCAGCAGCAGCTGTTTCCTTCACCAATAAATATACTTCATTACCAAGCTAGAGGGGAGAGGAGAGGGGTGGCAAGAGGGACTGGGGTGGGGAGAGAGAGGGGGAAGCTGCCACCTGTGTGGCTGGGATTAAAGCAATGAGATGGAGCCAGACCCCCCACCAGTCTCCTCACCCCCCTTGTCTTCTTAAAACTGTGAAAAAGCTTTTAACATGGCCCTCCTGTCTCCAGGGCCGCTCTGAAGCCTGACTGAGAGGAGGCACCTGGCAGAGACCGGGCGGAGGAAGGAGAGGAGGGCGGGTGGGGGAGGTGGGAGGGAAGAAGGGAGGCTGCTTCTCCCCAGAGGCTGCAGCTGGAGGGCTGGAGCCAAGTAAGCACGGAGGGGTGGGAGAGCCGAGGCAGGCAGGCCCGGCTCCCGGAGCAGCTGGGAACGCAGAGCCAAGGGGCCTGCGAGCGGCTTGGTGCGCGGTGGGGCTGCTGCGTTGTCCAGTGTAAAGCTTGGGCTGCTGAGCAGGGAAGGTTGGGCCAGGAACTTGCCTGTCTGCCACCCCCCTCCCCCCAGAGCAGCAGGGGGCTGAGAAAAGCCATCACTTCTTTGGTCTTTGTGGCGGCTCAGGCTCAGCTCAGCGTGTGGGGTGGGAAGGAGGGCAGAAAGGGCAGAGCGGGCCCTTGGCAGGAAGTGCCACCTCAGCAGAGGGCCCGACTGGGAGCTCCGGCAGAAAGGTCACAGTGAGGCCGAGGAGCGCCCAGGAGGAGAGGGGCTGCCCGCGTGTGGAAGGGCTGGCACTGGTGGGCTGGGTGTGGTGCGATGCCCCACTCTCTGCCAGGGCCCATAGGAAGGACAAAGCCCCAGGAGGTGGTCAGGCAGAACAGGCTCCAGACCCGGGCTCCCTTCTTCCCCATGCTTGGGTCCAACGCTGAGGCTCAGGAGGGAGGGTTGGAGCTCATCCTTTGTCCAAACCTTCCCTGGAGACCACAGAGGGCAGCAGGCACCACAGGCCAGGGCTAGCCCTTACCCACTGGGAATTCCATGCCCTTTCCTGCTTGCAACTGGAAGCCAGGGCAGTTTGGAAGGCAGCTCCAGCCCTTGCCACCTGAGGCAGAAGGGGTCGGAGGCCGGCCAGAGCCCTCCAGGGAGGTGGGAGCAGGAGATGGGGGGTTTCTGGAGGGGCATCCCCTCCCGCTCTTTTGCTCAGAGCTGGGGACAGTTCAGGCACAATCAACCCAAGAGTCTGAAAGCCGGCAAGTTGTAGCACCCCCACCCCCAGTGCCAAACTAACAAAACAAAATAGGGGAAAGGAAGGGAAAAAAATGGTGGGGGCGTGGGGAAGGGGGAAGGGAGACAAACCAAAACGAGATCCCCTGACCTCATGCCCAGGGCACAGGGCACAGTCAGTAGCAGGCCTGGGGAGTGGGGTCAGGAGCGTCTAGCTGGGCCGGCACTGCACCTGACCCTCTGAGCTGTCCTCATCGTCAGAGGCCCCAGCGCCCCCGCTGCTGAGGCCTGTGATCCGGTAGCCCATGTTGAGCAGCATCACCTCCAGAGGGTCTGCGTTCATGCGCCGCTGGTTGGCCTGAGAGGCGCCCTCCATGTCCTCCACCACGCGGCCCGTGAGGTCTTCGCTCTGTGGTGGTAAGAGGGGACAGCCACCAGGACATGTGAGGGAGGCACACAGGATATGTATGTGTGTGTATGGGGGGACATTACATCCATAGGGAGACCCTGAGCTGCTGTGGTGCCATGTCCTCTCCTCAGGGGAGGATTCTGGAGAGCCAGATCCAGGATTGGGGAGGAAGCGGAGGTCTGAGGCTGCCCTGCAGAGTGGCAGGGCTACATTGCCCTAAGTGGCTCTGCGTGCTGGCCTTGCCCCATTTCCCACATACAGATAAGCGTGGGCAGGGATGGTTAAGCAGGCAGTGAGTAGGGAAGGACTCCAAGGTGGCCTACTGGACTCTGAAGCCTGCATATTTCCCTTGTGGCTGAAGGGCAAGAATCTGGGGGCCTGAGGTGTGCCTCTCTGACAGGGGGAGGAGGGCTGATCTGCTCCTCCCTCTGTCCTTCTTTAGCCCATCTGTGACCTCCATGTAACACCTCAGCAGCTATCTCAAGGATACACTATGGCGAGCCAGGAGCCAACTCCTGTCCCTGGATGTGCCCAATGCATTTGGTGTCTCCTGGACCTGAGGGCTCTCACCTTGCTGCAGCCTTTGAGTCCCCAAAGCTGCTGGACTCCAAGGCTTATTCACTCGCCCAGTCTTGTGTGGGCTCAACCATTGGCCTTGCACAGGGGACCCTTTTGTTTGGCCTGATTCACCTTGCCTGCCTCTTTACCTCTGGTCGGGGATTCCAGAGCCGGACAACAGGGTCGATGCCGCTGGTGGCCAGGAAGCAGTAGCTCGGGTGTGGCTGCAGGCAGTTGACAATGGACTCATCCCCCTGGAGCACGCGGACTAGGTTGGTGGTCTCCTTTTCCCAGATGAAGAAGGAGCCGTCATCAGAGCCACTGACGATGTACTGAGCATTACTGGCAGGGCCAAAGGGCAGGGAAGGCAGATGAATGGAAGGTGTTGGGGAGCTGGGCAGTCGGGAGACACTCAGGTCCCCCTTGCTCTGGGTTATGACCTTGAGAGTCCTCCACATTGCAGGGCCGGTCACTGGGGTTACTCTCTAAAACTCAGGGCAGTGACTGGGTCCCTAAAGCACATCAGCATCTCATGGTGCCAGGATCATGTCTTGTCTGGCCTTGGGTCTCTAGGAACAGCTTCACCTAAGCTTTCCCAAGTCCTAGGCTTCCTGGATGAAGGCCCCTATCTCCCAGTACGTGACCAGCACAGCCCCTCATATTCGGCTGGCATCTATAGGGAATCCTGAGGGAGAATTCCGAGTTGTTCACTTAATCAAAGGAAGGTGAGGCTGACAGTGTGTGGGACATGGGCTTTGTTCCTCAGTGGCTACATGGCCCATATAGGACTGTCAAGCTCCTCAGCCTCTGGGGGTTGCCCCATACTCCAGCGGACAGAAGTTTGGAGCACCCAGAAAAAGAAACTGGGCTGTGGCTCCAGCAGCCAAAGCAATATGAGGTGGGGAGACAGAGGGTGGGCACCGTGGCACCCTGTTAGCTGTCTCACTGGGTCCTTCTTATGGCCTGACAAGTGAGTAAAGTTCCCTTCCTCGGTGAGGTCACTGAGACCCACAGAAATGAAGCTGTCTGCCCAAGGGCAGACACCAAGGCAGAGCTTGAGATGTTTTAACTCCTCCACCCCCACCACTTCCTACTAACTGCCCGTGGTCCCCTCCTCTTTCGGGCTCAGACCTGCCGAAGAAATTGGCCTCCTTGATGTCCGTGGTGGTGTTGCAGTGGCCACAGTAGCGGAACTGGTAGTCATAGCTTCTCTCCCGCAGCACCATCTCATCCTCGGAGATGGAGTCCTTGCGGCTTGAGCTGCGGAGGCGGACGGGGCCGCCACCAGCTCCCTTCTTTTCCTCTGAGGGCAGAGACGAGACAGGTGTGAGTTTCCACTGCCTCACCCGCTCCCCACCCACGGCCCTCTTCACAGCCCAAGTCCCGCTGAGCCTTGCGACTGCCCCCGTTTCTGCACTGGAAACTCGGGACCATCTTGTGGGGGATCCAGGCTCCGAGGTTGCTCAAGGGCCGTTTCTACAGGGGCAAGAGGCAAGGCGAAGCAAGCTCGACATCGACTGGGCAACTTTCTCAGCACAGAAGGACCCAGCTCCCTGTCTCTGACGGCAAGCCACGGGGCAGCCCCTGGAAAACTCACATGTTTTCAGTTCCTTGCATGTGCCTTAGTCCTTCCTGCATCCGGGCCCTTGCACAAACTGGTCCTCAGGCTAGGAAGGCTTCACTTCCCACAACCCCCCTCTATTTAACTTATCTCCTGCCTTCTGCGGAGCTTGGGTAAAATGTCTTCTTAAAGATTCCCAGCTGTTAATCAAGATACTCTCTCTTGCATCCTGTGGCCACTTGCTATGTGGGCCCAAGGTACTCCTCTTACTTTGCTTCTCCTTCATTAGACTGTATATCCTACAAACTCAGAAATGTCGCCTGTCTTGTTTACGGCTGTGTTCTCTGGTGAGGCAGTCTCATGGCCAGGCTGGGGCAGGGGGCTAGGGCATGCAGCCAAGGAACCATCTGCTTTTAGGAATCACACACTGTGACCTGTTCCCCAACACTACCAGCATGAGCCCAAAGGGTGGTCCTGGGCTGTGCTCTACTCAAGGCCAACCAGGTACAAGGCAGGGCAGAGCCTGGAAGCCAAGGCACCACACCCCACCCCGGACGCATTCCTAGTCCCTGTGTTATTATCTCTGCTTCCCTGTACAAGCCAACCAGCTACAGCCTGTCAGGTGCATGAGGAAGGGAAAGAGGAGGGAGTGGGGGTATGGGGTGTGGTAAGGACCACAGCCCTGGCTGTGAATGGGTAACTCCCACGTGCTTTTGTACCTGGACAGAATCATTCAGTGGCAGTGCTAACCCTTCTCCAATGAGGAGACCAAGTGATCATGCCCTGGACATGTGGCTTCTGAGGCAGCCACCTGACCGCAGGCCTCTTCAATCCTGGAGCTATGACCTCCCCTGAAGGCCACGTGGCTCCTTTGCAGTGCCTACTCACCACCATCATTCTTGGAGAAGAGGGCAGCCGTGATGTCGCGGCCCAAGGCATCACAAGCGCTGCTATGGGCCTGTTCTGGGAACTTCCCTTTGAAGTCATCCAGGCACTCCAGGGCCTCGGCCACATACTTGAGCTCAAAGAGACAGCGGGCCAGGCGGAAGTGTGCCTTCAGGTGGCATGGGTTTAGGGAGATGGCCTTGAGGCAGTCTCTCAGAGCATCATAATGGTCACCATCCCTGGAAGGCAAGGGAGTCTGCCTTGAGGGGGGGGGGGCACATGGCAAGCAGGGCTACCCCTCCTCCCCATGTTGTCTTTGCTTCCTGTGGCTGTTCCAGTCCATTTCTCTTCTGACAGATCTCAGGTGAAGAGACTTGGGGATGAAAAGAATCTTGGCTTAGCCTAGGCCTCTATCCCCAAAAAAGAGTAAGCCAGGAACCCTGTAGGTTTGGGGGCGGCAAACCCTGGTGTCAGGGTGCCCTCTGCTGGGCACAGAATGTAACTGTGTGCCTGCTCACCCCAGGCACCCGCAGCTCTGCAGCAGAAGGCCTGGCATCTTGCCCACCTCGGGCTCCCCAAGCCCTCCTTCTTCCTCCACCCACATCCTCCAATCCCCCCGGCTGGCCTTCAAAGCCACGTCCAAGCAGGGGGCCCTCAAGGACAGCTCTGTGGTCTAGCGAAGCCAGAAGTGCCAAGCCGGGGGCTCTGGGGCTGACCAGCAGGCAGCAAGCCCTGAGCCAGACCCCCCTCGGTCCTGGCTGACTGATCCGCAGCAGCTGTGGCCTCTACCTCCTGGGGCTGGAGGATGGGGTTGACAGCCTGGCAGAGTCAGCTCTCTGGAAGCTGATGGCAAGGGGACTGCACACGCCAGGAGCTCAAATCCTCCCCACTCGCTCCTGCAGCTTTCTCCAGCAAGGATGAAGGAAAGTGAGGGAGCTTTCTTTGGTGGGCAAGACTGAAGAAGTCAGCCTTTCATACCTTGTGTTAGAATGTGGGAGACACTCCCTGTCCCTGCCCCTGTGGGCCTGCCCCTGCCTCTCATGAGGGGAGGTCACAGAAGCCACTTGTCATTTCGGAGCATTTTCTCTCTCTCTTTTTTTTTATTCCCTTTGGCTGAGCAGTGAGCAGCACTCCCTGGCTGGACCTGCTGGCCTCTTAACCTGGGGTACTGCTCATAGAGCCTCAGGACCCTACACTGCCTCTCTGCACGTAGAGGGAGCACTCAGCTTGGTGCCAGCAATTCTAGCCGGTGTGGGGGCAGAGCATCCAGAGCTGCCTCCATGGAGTGGCCTGCGTCAGAAAGAGTGGTTGTGACGAAGGAGCAGGCGCGCTGTGGAAACCCAATTACCGCCTGCAAGGTGCCCCTCTGAGCTCCTGGGGAGGACAGAGCTGAGACCGGCCTGGAGCCAGAGGGTGGCAGCTCCCACTGCATCCAGGAGCAGATGGCAGCCCTGGGGAGATTGGCCCAAGACAGAACGTGACATTCGAAGGGTCACTGGCAGACATGTGGGATGGGGGTGGGAGCAGGGAGAGCAGGCAGGCCCAGGGCCCACCCACCCTAAGCACACTGCCAGATCCCTTTCCGAGGGAGGACGGCCCTCTGCAAGGCCCTTTCCTGCCTGAGACCCTCCATGGCTGCCTGACAGGCACAGAATTGAGGCCAACCCCCTCTGTGTGCATTCCAAGCCCTTCCCAGGCCAGCCCCAGGCTACCTCACAGACTCATCTCCTGCCAGTCCCTTCCTGAACCCTCTGCTCCAGCCAAATGGATTTGCTGTTCTGCTGCAAGCTCTTCAGGCAGCCCCTGCCCCCACGTCTTTGTTCACACCATTTCATCTCCCTGGAATGTCCTTCCCCCACAGGCCCCTCCTCCCCTCCATCTCCTGTCTAGGCCTGCCCGCACTCACAGCCATTCAGACGCCTTGGCTTTCTGCTGCTTCCCGGATCCCCAGCTAGAGCAACCCTCTTTTCTTGTTGCCTGTGGTGTGTCACCTGCTAAACTATCCTGTGACTCCACGCCTGTCCTAATGCTGGCTGCTCTGAATAAGGGACTTGGTGACAAAACTTAGTGTCCCCAGTACCCAGCACACAGTGGGGGTTCACACAGAAAATGTGCCGTGGACACACGCAGGATGGGATCAGCAGCCTCTTGTAGCAAGAACACACAAGTGAAGCTGAGCTCTCAGCCTGAAGTCTACCTAATGACCAGGACGGAGAGGCCCCTTCAGGCATCTCCTGGGTTTGGCAAATCCCTGGTGCCTGAGCTGAAGCCCATGGTTGGGGGGAGGCAGCCTCCCCGCCCCCACTGCCAGGCTGCTGACTTGGGTGGGTTTCTGAAGCCTCCCTCTCCGGCCTGCCTCGTTTCAGCCAGACGATGGCACACCAGCTGGCCTGTCTGTCTGGGCAGAGTCGACGGATGCCAGACGGAGCAGAAATGGCTGTGGGCCCAGCTCTATCCATCTCTCGTCCTGGCCCTGGCTGGGGGAGGGGTCTGCCTGCCTGCTTGCCGGCTGCTGCTGCAGGCAGAAGGGCTGGGGCCCTGATGCCCTCCCAGGATGAGGGGTTCTTCAGGACAAGGAGCAGCCCCCCTCCCCTCGGCCCAGCCAACCTCCCACAGCACCCCCAGCTGGCAGTGGCTCCCTGGGACTTTTCTGTCTGGAGTCTGAGGGTCTAAGAGTGCGGAGAGCAAGCCCTAGGTCTAGGTGCTCCAGGACTGGCTGACAAATATCAAACCCTTCAGTCACATTCCACCGCTCGCTCAAGGTCCAATTCTCCAACAGTTGCAGCAGCCATCCTCTCAGCCCCTGATTCCCTAGTGGTATAGCATGCAGAACACCACACTGGAACTACTTGTCAGCAATGCTCTGCTCAACTACCAATTACCTCAGTGCTTGAGACTTCTCTATCGCTGGGGCAGGTGCCTCCCCTACCAGCCAGCTACCTTCTCTGTACACCTCAGCATTGCAGCCCCACACAGCCTGCTGCCTGTGGTCCCACTGCTCCTCCCTCTGCCCCGCCTTGACCCCTCCGTAGTGTCCACTCACCACTTGCGTTTCATGTAGGCGGCAGCTCGGTTTCCGTAGAGCATGGCATTGTGGGGAGCCCTCTGCACAGCCTTGCTGTAGAGCTGAATGGCCTGGGTCCATTGCTGACAGGCAAATGCCTCATTGGCCTGTTGCTTCACTCGCTCCAGATAAGGAGGCAGTTCTACTTGGGGGCTGCTGGGAAAACAGAGCCACGGTCAGATCAGTTGCAGGAACAGAAAGGAACGGCTCCTTGAAAAGCCTGGGGCTCTGCCTGAGGGCCACCCAGGTCCCATGAGGGGGAGAAAATTTAAGCAACCATGCAAAGACCAAAGAGAGGACTTCTAAGAGAACAGAGAAAAGATTCTTGTAGAATGGGGATCATAGCAGGAGGCCCATCTGTATGGTTTCCCTTTTTGGAGACAGCTTCTGTCCATGGGTCCTGATCCTGGCCACTGATACCAAAAGACCACAGCCTGAGGTGGAGTATGGCTGATGCCCTCCTGGGCAGAGGGCAAGGGAGCCACTGGCCACCCTCCAAGAGGCCTTACACCCCATCCCATTGGTTCCGTGTATGTCTGGGTGCAGGTTAGAAGGCAGGTTTCCAGGACACGTGCCTGGAATGGGGCTTGAAGGGCTGGACAAAGTCACTGGCCTCACCTGACATTTCCTTTACTCTCCGGCAACCGAAAGCCATTACTGTGAAGGTGCAGGCCGTTGGACACACCATTGGACACTCCATTGGTGGACATCTTGCCATTCTGAACTTCTGCAAGCAATGGAGAGAAAGTAACAGCTGAGGAAGAGGCCCTCTCTTCTCAGCAGCCCTTCCACTCAGACCACAAGATTCCATTGTGGCACTAAGGGTAAGTCCATTCCTAGAACACTGGTTCTGACAGCAGAGCAGGCAGTGGCATAAGTGAGGCCTGGGCGCCCTCTGCTGCCTGGCCAGAGACACAGCTCCAGTACAAGCTACCCTCAGCAGAGGGGACAGAGTGACAAGTGAGGGTTGAGCAGGTGCCTCAAGCAACTGCAGACTCCAGGACAAAGGGGAATGGCAGCCATTCCAGGGTCTTCAGAGCCAAATCACTGAAAGAGCCTGTCTTGTCAGAGCCAGGTGACAAGTGCTGTGTGACAGAGTCCTTGGGTAGGGCTTTCTGCCCTCCTGTCTCCTCGCTGGCTAGACAGGCTTGGCGTGCTCTTCTCCGAGGCCGGCAGCCAAGGCCTATAGCAGTGTGCAGGCTCCTCAGCAGGGGCGGTGTGTGCTCAAGCTTCCCACCCCATCAGGGGAGACCCTCGGGAAGACCTACCTCCTGAGGAATGGCATTTTCTGGGCAAGAGGAAGGTGTATGGCCGCTGCTTGTAAGTCAAGTCAAACAAATAGACCTAGTGGGAAGAAGCCAGGAAATAGCCTGTTACATGAGGGCATGGTGGGAGACACTGCAAGGCTTTGGTGACTCAAGAACCATGGTCTTAGGAGGACACTCAGGATGTGGAAAGCAGAGCCCTGGAACCTGGCTAAAGTTGTGTCTAGGAAGTAAACCCTTGGCAGGAAGTGGTTCTTGGCCGTGGGCCCTTGGGGTGGACTCTCAGTCACTTAACAGAGTCCTGGGTTTCCATTGCAGAGGCCCTCAGTCACAGACAGTCTTGCTGAGGGGAAGAGCGAAAGCCTCTGAGAGGGGCCGTGCCTGACAGCAACATGGCCAGTCACTTCTTTTGGCAAACTCTCATCAGCCTCTTGCTGAACTCTTATTATTGAGTGCTTTACATGATTTTTTCTGTTTCACTGCAGAAAGCTATCACAAGAAGAGAGATTGTTACAATCACCCCTTTTATAGATGAGGAAACTGGGGCTCAGTGCTCACATCATTTATCCAGGGTCACAAAATCAGCAGGTGCCACAGCCCAGACCCACACTTGGGTCTGTGTACCTCCTGATGGGTCTGCTACCCCGTCTCTCCACTCAGTGGAATGCGACCAACAGGCCAAGTGATGGCCCAGCCCTGGAGCCAGAACCTTATTCTGATCTATGCACCACTGTGCAACAGAAGGCTAGGCATGACGGGCCTACCATAGCTCAGCTGTGCTCTCCTAGGGAGGTGGCAGATGAGGAAACCAAGGTTCAAAAAAATGGAAACTGACAGACACAGCCAACAACAGGCCAGCATTTGAGGATAGGTCTGTCAAATCCAAAGCCCAAGTTGTTGATCAAAGCATTGGACCACTGTATACTGATAATGTCATTTACAACAAGCCCGCTGCTCGTGTAAAGCCAGGCAATGCACATATGGCATACACAGTGCTGGCAGCTGAGTAGGGCACAGTGAGAGGGTGCAGAGCCACCCCAGGAGACTGAACGTACCTGCTCCCCGCCCATGTTGACTAGCAGCTCTGTGCCGTTGGGGCTGAAGGTCACATAGGTGGCGACCAGTACTCTCAGACGGTTATTGTAGTCGGGCAGCTTCACTGGCAGATGACCTAGAGAAAGAGACCAGTTGCCTTAAGATGGATCTCCGGGTTGCCCCTCCAAAGGACAGGTTGGGAGATGTTAGCCATGTTGAAAAGGACAGCAACCAACTCTTTATAAAGTGTAAACACTTCTGGGTGTTGAGTCCTTAGTGTTCAGGCTGAGCCAACTGCTTCTTGTGTCTCACCCAAGGCAGTCATTTCAACTTCACTTTTTAGCAAAGAAACTCATCAAGATGTGGCGGTTGCCTAAGGTCACATAGCCGGTTGGCGGCAGAGTCAGGATTAAAGCCCAGATCTGACCCCAAAACCCTTGCTGTTGACCACTAGGCCCTGCTGCCTCCCATGCTGTCCTAGAAAGACCCAGGGTCCAGCCAGGAGCCTGGGGCCACGGCTGGGCTGAGCCTTACCTGCCACGTAATACTGGGCCGCACCATCCGGAAGGGGCTTCTGCCGGTCACAGAAGGTGTGCACGCCCGCTGAGGGGCTCTGCTTCATGCTCTTTCTGGGAAGGAGAATCAGACAGGTCAAAACTAATAGTACCCCCGGCTGGACCAGATTTCCCGTCTGAGAGGAAAACCCAAGTTAGTGTCCCTGAGAAATACAGGAGGGAATTTTCCTTATCTAAGTAAACCCAAAGGCCCAGGCAGAAGCAGTGGACATATATATTGCAGGGTCATCTGAGTCTCTAGGCCCACTGTACAGCTAAGGAAGCTGTGGTTGAAGCAGGCAGTGTGTGAGGGGAAGCAGTGGCTGCCCAAATCCAGGAATGAAGGTCTAGCAGGCCAGACATTCCTGCTTCTGTCCAGATTCACAGAAAGCCCAAGTTGTAAAGGCCTCTCAGACTTGGTTTGGGTATATTATTTTCCTTTTTAAAAATAAAATCACATGTATTAAAAATGACATATAGAGGCCAGCATTGTTGCACAATGAGTTAAGCTGCTGCCTTTGACATCAGCATCTCACACTGGAATTTAGTCCATGTCCTGGCTGCTCTGTTACCAATCTGGCTCATTGCTGATGTTCCTGGGAAGGCAGTGAAAGATGGCCCAGGTACTTGGGCTCCTGCCACCGACATGGGAAATCTGGATAGAGTTCCTGGGTCCTGGTTTTGGCTACTGTGACCATTTTGGGAGTAAACCAACGGATTGAACTTGTCTTTCTGTCTTTTAAAGGATAGGCTTTTTAGCTTCTGAAACAAACATGGACTAAATTGTTCTGACAACAACAACAACAACTAAATTGTTAACAACAACAACAACAAACCAAAAACCAACCCAAACCTCAAAAAGGGCAGGTTCCCAGGGAGTTGCTGGTAGTGGCGGGTGGGGGGGGGGGGAGCCGGTCACACCTGTGGTTATGGATCATGCGGATGTCGTAGAGCCTCACGAAGGGCCCGCTGGCCCCGACGGCGAGGCAGTTGTTGTCCTGGGGGTTGACCGTGAGGCACTTGGCCTCTACCAGCTGGCCGCAGTACTCGGTCAGGTCAATCAGCACCTCTGAGTGTTTGCTGTTCTCCCGAAGGTCATACTGGCTGTGAGAGAGGACAGAGTTAGGGAATCCAGGTTCCCTAACTGTGCAGGACAAGACGTGGGGTGTCCTTGTGTGGAAGGCAGGGGAGAAGCCAACTCCTCATTATGTAAGTGGATTGGGAAGGGCCATGGACTGTCCTTTGTTGCCCACGTGTGCCAGGTCTGCAGGCTTCTCACATACAGCTCCACGTGGTGGTCCATACTGCTGCCATTACATGACTACAACGCCATTTCCTCGAGTGACACAGAGCTTTGTTGGGTGCTGTCCCTGATTCTTTTATGTTTATCATTTAATTAAATCCTAATTCCACCTCCAGGTACCACCAGAAGTTTGAAGTCCACAAACCTTGAAGGCGAAAAAATGACCGCTCAGATGGCAGAATTGGGAAAGCAGAGCTGGGCCTGCCTCCTGATCCACAGGCAGCTATTCGGCCCTGCTCCCTTCTGATCTATCTGGTTTCTCTCAGGAAACCAAGGAAGTGCTGGGGTGACGGAATCTGGAGGTCATCTAAGAGCTTCTTAGGAAACTCCACCTGGTGGAGGCACTGCCTACACAGTCTCCCCAGCACCAACAGATTCCCAGGCTCCAGCCGGGGAGCTTTCTGTTGTGACACACAGCTACCTGCCAGAGTGGGGAGCAGGCCATCTGCTCGCCCACCTCTTGCTTAGACAGCTCTAACAATCTCTCTGCTGTTCACCTTGTCTCCCCACGCTGTCCTCACCAGATTGCTCTTCCTAAAATACTGTTCTACATCACTCTCCTGCTCAAAACACACAGCGATGTCTCAACATTTCTAACAGACTTCTCTGCTTTCCAGGTTTGATGTCACAGACCTCTTCAGCCTATTCTCCAGTTTTCTAAATGTGGGCTCATTCTACCTGCAGGATTCTTTTACCTTATAACACACTCAGTACCTTGCCCTTACAAACTCTGCTTAACCTTGGGAGGCCACTCTGCTCCTCCTTGCCAACCCAAACCCTCTCCCACGCTGTACTCACTATGCTAGCATTCCTGTTTGACGGGATACCTGTGCCCAAGTACTTGGGCACCCACCCAATGCCCAAGATGCTCAGCTTATGCCAGGCAGCCTTGGCACAATTTGGTCAGTCAAGGGCAACAATCAGATCTGCCACTGACCAGGGCTTTCTGAGCACTGCTAAAGTTTGACATGTGCCACTTCCACATTCATGCACAGAACAATCAGGAGGACACTGTGATTACTCTGATTCTACAGATGAAGGAACTGAGGGTTTGGGCTGAAGTGATGTGCCCAAAGAGAGTGAAAGAACTCAGACTGACACCACATAATCATCATGACTTCAGTGCCCTGCTCTTTTTTTTTCTGTTACATGGAAGAGGACACAAAGACACAAAGAAAAAGTTCTAAGGGTAATGGGTCTGTTCTCTGAGGAAGGAAGCAGTGGCACCGTGTTCAATAACATGGTCGGGGAAAGAGGATAGCTCTCTTTACCATCTCTGACTGGCTCTCTCCCTGCCAGGCATATACCCACGCACATACCCACAGACCAACTATTCACAGAAATGCACCAGGAGCCTCTGTGCTGGCACTGTGCTGGGCTGGAGGGCCACAACTGAGGAGATGCCAAGCATGAGCTGGCTTATGAGAAATAGTTTACTGGGCAGACAAGTGAGGCCGGAGGGCAGGAGTCAGGTCTGCAGAAGAAAGCTCCAAGGGCAGGTAGGATTGGAGAGCCATCACACAGTGGGAGCAGGAGAGGCACCGGCCCTCGATGCCCTCACCCTTACCGGATCAGTCCATCCTCAGCAGCACTCCAGAATGTGTTGGGCCACATGGGGGCCGTGGCAATGCGTTTCACCCGGTTTGTGTGGTCTCCAAACATGTGGATGGTCTCCTTTACAGTGAGGTCATGGACATGCACTTTGGAGTCAGCTGCCCCTGTGATCAAGATGCGGTCTCCAGCATGAGGCAGGAACTGTCCGGGAAAGATTGGAAAACGGATTAGGGGGTGTTGGGAAAGAGCCGGTCAAAAAGCCTGGCTGCTCTCATCACCCCTTTCCCCTCCATGGCAAGAATGAATCCATCCAAGAAAACCTCCCAACCAAACTTGAGACCTTCAGCAGCCTCCTACAGTGCAGAAGATCCATGTTGAGACACATCCCTTTACTTTAGCAGAGTGGTCCTGACCTAGCCCAGGCTGGACTCCCAGAGGAAGCTTTTCCTTTGATCTCTGTCCAATTGAGAACTGAGAGGATGATAATCACAGCTGTCACCATTTATTTAGCATTTGCATATACTAATCACCTGGGAGCTACTTTATCTTACTGATTCTTTTTTACGATTTATTTTATTTTTTATTGGAAAGGCAGATATACAGAGAGGAAGATCTTCCATCTACTGATTCACTCCCCAAGTGGCTGCAACAGTTGGAGCTGTCCCGATCTGAAGCCAGGAGCCTGGAACTTCTTCCAGGTCTCCCATGGTGGTGCAGGGTGTCTCAAGGCTTTGGGCGTCCTCAACTGCTTTCCCAGGCCACAGTAGGAAGCTAGATGGGAAGCGGAGCCATTGGGATTAGAACCAGTGCCCACATGGGATCCCAGCACATTTAAAGATGAGGACAGTAGCCACTAGGCTACCGCGCTGCGCCCATCTTATTGATTCTTTTTTTTTCTGAAGATTTATTTATTTTCACCACAAAGTCAGATATACAGAGAGGAGGAGAGACAGAGGGGAAGATCTTCCATCAGATGATTCACTCCCCAAGTGACCGCAACAGCCAGTGCTGCACCGATCTGGAGCCAGGAGCCAGGAACTTCCTCCAGGTCTCCCACAACGAGTGCAGGGTTCCAAAGCATTGGGCCATCCTTGAGTGCCTTCCCAGGCCACAAGCAGGGAGCTGGATGGAAAGTGGAGCTGCCGGGATTAGAACCGGCGCCCATATGGGATCCCCACGCGTTCAAGGTGAGGACTTAGCCACTAGGCCACACTGCCTGGCCCCATCTTATTGTTTGTTAACAAAGCAAGGGAAGAAGGCCCATGCACTTGGGTCCCTATCACCCATGTAGGATCACTGGCCAGAGTTCTTGGCTCTTGGATTCAACCTAGCCCAGTCCTGATTTGTTATGGCCATTTGGGGGAGTGAACTTTCTCTCTAGTTCTGCCTTTCCAATAAATACATCTTTAAAAAATATTTATTTGAAAGGCAGACTTAAAGAGAGGACATGAGAAAGATCATCCATTGGCTGGTTCATTCCCCAAAAGGCCACAACAGCCAGAGCTGAGCTGATCTGAAGCCAGCAGCCAGGAGTGAATTCCCTTCCCCTTCAGGACGCCCATGTGGGTACAGGGTCCTAAGGCCTTGGGCCATCTTCTGCTGCCTTCTCAAACCCTAAGCAGGGAACTAGACTGAAAGCAGAGCAGTCTGGATTTGAACTCGTGTCCATTTGGGATGCTGACACTTTAGTGCAAAGGATTAAGCTGGCCCTCATACAGGGAATTTTTGTGTGTGTGTGAAGGGTTTTGTTTGTTTAATACATCTGAAAAGAATGCATATGCAAAGAATTGAGACATGAGAAAGTGTTGGTTCAACACTACTGAATCTATGAGAATTAGAATTTGGGAAAGTTGGAAAAGATTATCCAAACATTTTTTAAAATTTGAGACTGCAATCGAAATTAGCTGATAAAACCCCTATTAACACTTAGGAAGTCTTCTTAAGACTCCATGATTTTTTTTTTAATTAAGCTAGAGAGCCTCAAGCGGCTTCTCTACCATTTCTCTTATGCAAAACAAAAATAAGGGGATTTTCCTGACTGGTCTCCCCACCAAGTCCCACCCTCAGCTTCTTAATGAAGCAGGTCTGCACCCTCTTAACCCCACGCAGGGTTAATTCTAAGGGACAGGGTGTCTTGAATTTGCTCAGCTCTTCCTGGAGAATAATTTAGCAATAGGTAACAAAGAAAATGTTCCCATCTTTTGACCTAACTTTCAATTGTATGAAACTACCTCACCCCTCCAAAAAAGAAAAAGAGTGGGTATTTGGCCTAGCAGTTGGGACACCTGTGTTCCACACAGACCTGCTTCCAGGTGATACAGATGCTGTGCAGGGGTGGCACTGATGGTTCAAGTGGTTGGACTGCTGCTGCCCAAGTGGGAAACCTGGATTTGGTTCCTAATTTTGCCCTGGCCCAATTTTTGCCATTGTGGACATTTGGGGTGTAGGCCAGTGAATGGAAAGCTCTGTGTCTCTCCAAAAAAAAAAAAAAATAAAGAAGAGAAAAATAGGACTTACGAAGAAATGGTCACAGCAGGATTCGTTTAGAAAAGCAGTGGAGACTGCTTCAATGTAGGGCCCGGGGGGGGGGGGGGGGGGGGGGGGGCGGAGATGGGGGGAGCAGCAAGGGGATGCAGGGGCGCCCTTGCAAGGGGCCTACAAGAGCTGAAAAACACACCACACCCTGTGGCTGCCACCAGAGGGAGCGCATAGGCTAAACATTGTGAATAGAATTGACCGCTTCAGAGTGCAGAGACTGTGGGTCCAGTTGTGAGCACTTTGACCAAACTTTACCAGCAGAAAGTGTCAAGAGTACTGAGAAATCTAGAACTCCCTGATGCAAAAGGAAAGGCTCCTATATCTCCTTTCTCCTGACTGAGGCATAGACTCAACTGCACTTTTACAGGTATAGAAAGCAGCACAATGGCTGATAAAATGCCCACCAAGTAGACCACTGCAGGGTTAGATCATTTACATCTTTTTTTTTTTTAAGATTTATTTTATTTTAATTTTTATTGTTAAGGCGGATATACAGAGAGGAGAGACAGAGAGAAGATCTTCCGTCTGATGATTCACTCCCCAAGTGACCGCAACGATGGTGTCATGCCGCTCTGAAGCCAGGAGCCTCTTCCAGGTCTCCCACGCGGGTGCAGGGTCCCAAAGCTTTGGGCCTTCCTCGACTGCTTTCCCAGGCCACAAGCAGGGAACTGGATGGGAAGTGGGGCAGCAGGGATTAGAACCGGTGCCTATATGGGATCCCGGGCGTGCAAGGCAAGGACCTTAACCACTGCGCCACTGTGCCGGGCCCAGGTCATTTACATCTTTAGAAGCATTTTCCAGTAGCTCTAAGCAGCAAGCAATTCCTTCCTGCCTCAGGCCCACATTTGTTTGGTCACCAATGACACAAGCATGAAGTCATCTACAGTTGGACTCTTGGTTTTGTGAGAGGGAAGACAAGCATGGAAAGGAGATAGGGGCCTGCACTGTGGTGTAATTTGCTAAGCTTCCATACGTGGGACTGGCATCTCATATTGGCGGCAGATCCCGATTGCTCCATTTCCAATTCAACTCCCATCTAATGGCTTAGGAAAGCAGGGAGGATGGCCCTAGAAGAAGCTCCTGATTCTCAGTTTAGAATCAGTATTATAGGTCTGGACACTTGGGCCTTTTGGGGAGTGAACCAGACGACGGAAGCTGCATTTTTCTCTCACTTTGTAACTCTTTCAAATAAAAAATTAACAAATTGGGCCCGGCACAGTGGCCTAGCCGCTAAAGTCCTCACCTTGAATGTGCCGGGATCCCATATGGGGCCATTTCTAATCCCGGCGGCACTACTTCCCATCTAGCTCCCTGCTTGTGGCCTGGGAAGGCAGTCGAGGACAGCCCAAAGCCTTGGGACCCTGCAAGAGCTGGCTCCTGCCTCTGAATCGGCGCAGTACCGTCCACTGTGGTCACTTGGGAATGAATCATCAGATGGAAGATCCTTCTGTCTCTCCTCCTCTCTGTATATCTGAATTTGCTATAAAAATAAATCTTTTTTAAAAATTAACAAATCTTAAAATAAAAACAAACAAAACTATGAGATTTAAGGACTTTCAGACATTCGAGACCAGAACAGAGTCAGTGAGCCCAGTGGTGCGTATGAGGGGACACACACATACACAATACAACATGGCTGTGTTCACGGCTCAGTTGCCTTTTCTACTTATTCTGTGCCATTTCCTGCTCACCTTGACAGAGAAGATGTTGGCCGTGTGTCCCGTGTGCATGGAGAGCAGCTTCTTGTGGTGCAGTGGGTCCCACACAATGGTGTGCTGGTCATCAGAGCCGGAGGCCAGCAGGCTGTAAGCAGAGGAAGACGTCTGACTTCTCAGGCTCCCCAGCCCCTGTTTCCAGCCTATTTATCTCAAGGATTTCCCATGATTCCTTTCACACCAGCTTATTTGAAAACCATAGCCTGGATTCTCCTCCAGCTTTCCATTATCCACACACTGCCTGTGTCCTAGAAACTCTGGGCTCTTCTTCTCTGGGTTCCCCTTCCCTCAGACCTGCTAGAAGGAAGGCCCCCTTTTCCAGCACCCTCTCAGCCTTCCAGAACATACTTACTCTCCTTTCTCATTCCATTCCAAACAGTTGACACAGCCTGAATGACCCTGGGGAGCAAATGAAAGGTGACAAAAAAACAGCTGGTTAGAGAGGTTGTCAGGGGAACCTTACTTCCAAGTGGAACTGGGTGAGTTAATCGGCTTTTCCATCTTCAGTGTTTTCCATAGGCATGTAAATGGCCAGAACTGACTCAAACTGACTGGCACCTTACAGCATACAGAGTACTTTCATAGTCAAAATCTCATCTTGATATCAAAGTGCATCAAAGGTTCAGCACTGAAAACACAGTGGGTTAAGCTGCTGCTTTTTAGGCTTGCATACAGGTGACAGTTTGAGTCTCAGCTTCCAATCAAGCTCCCTGCTAATTAATATGCTTGGGAAAGCAACAGAACACGGCCTAGTTACTTGAGTCCCTGCTACGCACATGGGAAACTTGCATGGAGTTCTAGGCTTCTGGGTTTGTCCTGGCCCAACCCTAGGAAGTGGAGCCATTTGGGGAGTGAATCATCAAACATAAGATCTCTGTTACTTTGCCTTTCAAATAAATACAGTAAATCTTGAACACACAGACAGAAAAAACTTTCATATGCTGCCAAACCCTTCAAGGCACACCCCTTTAGAAAACAGCCCAGGGAGTTGTTTGACCCACAGGCAGACAGTTAACCTAGGAGGTTCACTGCTCATTAATTCAGCAGATGTATGTTGAGTCCCTGCTGCACGCAGGCCAGGCGCTGTCCAGAGGCCAGGGTTACAGCAGCATGCAAATAATAAAGTCCCCAGTTCTTTTCTTTTCTTTTCTTTTTAAGATTCATTTATTTTTTTTGGAAAGGCAGATATACAGCGAGGAGGAGATAGAGAGGAAGATCTTCTGTCTGATGGTTCACTCCCCAAGTGGCTGCAACGGCCAATGCTATGCTGATCCGAAGCCAGGAGCCAGGAGCTTCTTCCAGCTCTCCCATGCGGGTGCAGGGTCCCAAAGCTTTGGGCTGTCCTTGACTGCTTTCCCAGGCCACAGGCAGGGAGCTGGATGGGAAGCGGGACCTCTGGGATTAGAACCAGCACCCATATGAGATCCCAGAGCGTTCAAGGCGAGGAATTTAACCACTACGTTATTGTGCTGGGCCCAAGTCCCTAGTTTTTGGGAGCTTACTTTAAGTTTGTGGAGAAACTGAGGCAGATCACAGCAGACAGTGAACTGAAAGCTGTAGAGGGAAGGCATGGCAAACCTACAGCCATAAGGACACAGACAGCAGGAGAAAATAACCACGAGGCTTACTCTCCTTCTTACCTCTCACTCCTAACAGCGCCTTGATTAACATGTGACCATCTCTGTACCACACATCAGGTCACACATTTCAGGAATCATAAACCTATTATTCTTGCCTCAGTGACAGCTCAGGAACATAGGCCTAATTCAAACACACAATGTGATTTACATATAAGAGGAAACAGTTATTGGGAACTTGTAAAAAAGATCCCAGCTGTAGGCAATGGCCTAGGTTGCCTTGTACCTAGGCAAGTGTTACACTCCTGGAAGAGAAGCAGCTAATAGGTGGGGAGCATCCTGGGCCTGGTTAATGCCAAATTTGTGTTAACTATACCAGTGTGCCAGCATAGTCACCTATTCTATTTTTTAAATTAAATTTTTATTTTAAAAATATGTGAAGGGATTTGGTGCCATAGTCCTCCAGCCTGGTTTGGGCCAATCCACGTGAGTGCCATTTGGAGCCATGGGTCCCTAGTCTGGCTTGGGCTGGCCTGTGGGAGCACCCTCAGGTAATCCCAGGTGCAGGGACCTGCAGAGGACATCTTGTACCATAGCAGAGGATGGAGGACATAACGAACGGGTCAACTGCCCCAGCCAGGTGCTGACAGCAAATATCTGTCAATTAGAGACTCCAGGGTGGACTATGTCAGCCAATGGACTTTGGAAGGATTTCTTCATCCTTGATTGACAACATTTCAGAACTATCGAAATCACCTGAGCAGAACCCTTGGCGCATACTCCACATCAGGGACCCCGGGGATGACACTTGGTGACCATTTCCCATCCCCAGCGAACTGAGGCAGTTGGGAGCCTGGGTGCAGCTTCTCCCCTACCTTCCCCCAGATACAGGAAAAAGAAAAATTTGGAAACAATGGTCTTACCCACTTTCCCCTAACCCTCGACCTTTCCCACCCTAACCAACTATGTAAACATCATCAAAAATAAAATTAAATAGCATTATAGAAAACAGAGTCTATGGAAGAGATGACTACCTCCCTCTGTTCTCTGGGTTTGAGATGTGATATCTGGAGTTGCTGCTCATGAGGGAAACCAGTGAGAAGGTGAAACCAACACCTGGAGGAGAGTAGGCCTTGGGAATCACGGGAAAATGGGCCCTGAGAGACCAGAGTAACACCTACCATACTCCTGCAATTGAGTTAAATGAGCCAATATGCTCAATACTACCTAAGACAGGGCTGTGCTGTGGTTTAGCCAGAAAGCCACCTCCTATGGCACCTGCAGCCCATATGGATGCTGGTTCAAGACCTGGCTGTTCCACTTGGGATCCAGTTGCCTGCTAATTAATGCACCTAGGATAGTGAGGGAAGATAGCCAAGATGCTTTGGTCCCTGTGTCATGTGGGCGACCTGCAGAAAACTTCTGGGCTCCTGATTCGGATTGGCCCAGCAATAGTCATTGCAGCCATTTGGGGAGTAAAGCAGCAGATGGAAGAACTCTCTCTTGTTTCTTCATAACTCTGCCTTCCAAATAAATAAAACAAATCTTAACAAAATAAACAAACCCATATTATCTAAGGCAATTTGAGTTGGACTGTTAGCTGCTGTGACTTAAGGCAACCTAACCAAAATCTCCAATTCACTCTTCTCGTGGTAACTTCTTCAAGCTGCCTTCCCTGTTCTGTACATTAGGGAGGGAGGCATATCTTCTTGTTGTCATCCTGCACTAAGGCCCTATGTCAGCGTGGCTGTTTTCTTCCACTAGACTTGACCACGAAAAAGCAGGTTTTGTGGATTATGTTCACTGAATCTGCAAGGCCAAGTACAGAGCCTGCTAGGTACCTGTTATTCAGATGATCAGCTGCCTGGTAATAAATGACCTCTTGCTCACTTTCTTGTGAACTCTCACCCTTTGCCCTACAGATTCTCATCTGGGTTTTCCACTTCTATATGTTACTGACACACTGTTCAAGCCTACAAGCTCCCTTACTAAATGAGACCTTTCACCTCCCATTGCCACTCTTTCTGGGTCACTCATTTCTGCCCTTCTCTCTCCACCGGAGCCTGCCAGGGCGGGCGAGGGGTGTCGCAGCAACAGCCTAGGCTCTAACAGATCACCAGGGTCTCTGGTGGGTGCCACTTCCTGAGGCCTGCAGAGCCTTGGCATGGCCTTGCAGCCAGAAATGGCCTCCTACAGATAGATGTTCCTGTCTTAATCCTCTGGAACCAGGAAACATGCTATTTAAGGTGACTAGCACGACTTTGCTGACGTGATGCAGGTTAAGGACCTCAAGAGGGAGAGATTATCCTCGATCATCCAGGCAGGTCCAATCTAATCATAGAGAACTAAAGAGATGAGGGTGAGAAAGGGACTGGAGCCAGGAAACGCTGCAGCTTTTGGAAGCTGGAACCACGGAGGAAAGGTTCTGCTCCACTGCCTCCAGGGAGAGTGGGGTCCTGCCAACAATCCACGTTCAGCCTGGTGAAACTTTTGGCAAGCTTCTGGTCTACAGAACTGTGGGGTAACCCACTCAGGTGTAGCCACTCTGTGGACATAATGGGCGCTTGGATGCCCATTAGCTTATTTGAGAGGGAGGCATCATTACTCACTTCACAAACGAGAAAAACAGCACTGAGAGGTTAGGTAAATCTGCCTAAGGTGGCAACATGTAAGATTTCAACTCAAAAGTGCAGATCCTCAAGTGATATCTGAGAAATTCACTAGTGCTCCCAGAATGACTGTATTTGTCCTCAAATTGGTAATCACTCAAAGCACACCAGACACAGGCCACCATGGATGGATCTGGCATTTGATTCATTTCTGACTGGTTAAAAAAAAAAAAAAAAAAGAGCTAGCTGAAAGACAAGCAAATTGGGGAAAGTCAAGAAAAAGTTCACACCTTTACAAAGATACAAAGTGACTATTGTAGTAATAAAAGGCTTAATAAGTCAGAATCCACACTTGATAACATTCCTGACAAGGAACACAGCATTTAAGGAGTTATCTCAGGCTCAACCAGAAAGTCTGGCTTGGTCGGAGGTGCGTGACATCAGAGGTAAGCAACTGGCACACAGAGGTAGGGAAACTGAGAGGAAAGACCTTGTAGAGATGGAAATCTTTCTACCTGGGTAAGCTTAGCTCAGGAAACAGGAAGTGTTGCAGGGAAAGCACCTGCAAGAAAAGAGCCAAGGCTCATCTACGTTCCAAGTCACAACCCACACTCAGTCCCTATATAACCTTTTTACATATATTGAGTATAATTACTAAAGTCTCTGACTTTGCTGGGTAGCACAGTACAGAGGAGGAAGAACGAGCAGACAGAAGTATGTCACTATTGACACACCACTTAGAATGGTACAAGTATAATCACAATAAAAGCCAATGGATTTTTAGTTGGTTTTATTACTGCCTATAAATTTCTTGTTTTCTAACTTACGATTTTTAAAAATTCATTTTGAAAGAGCTACACAGAGAGAGGGAACGAGGGAAAGGGAGATATTCTATCTGCTGGTTCACTCCTTAGATGGCCCCAAGAAACATGGTCCCTGTGCTGGGCTAAAGCAAACCAAAAAGATTAATCCGGTCTCCCATGTGGACGGGGGAGCACAAACATTTGTCCCATTTTCCACTGCCTTTCCTGGTCATTAACAGGGAACTGGACAGGAAGTGCAGCAGCAGGAATATAAACTGGCACTCAAGAGGTACTGGTTTCGGGCCCGGCGGCGTGGCCTAGCAGCTAAATTTAATCCCAGAGGTCCCACTTCCCATCCAGCTCCCTGCCTGTGGCCTGGGAAAGCAGTCGAGGACGGCCCAAAGCTTTGG